TCAAGCTTCTGTTGGAAAAATTAGAGCTTTTAGGTATCATTTTTAAAATTAAGACCAATTTAAAACTCCTAAAAAGCTACTTTTTGCGGACTCGTCCGCAAATTTTTAACTGGAGAATTTTAATCGAGTTTTTGTTGGAAAAATTAAAGTCTTTAGATGTCTCCTTAGGGCGTAAGGCCAATTCAAAAGAAGTATTATGAGCTAACTTCGAAAAAGCTACTTTTTGCGGACTTGTCCGCAAATTTTTAACCAGATAATTTTTATCGAGCTTCTGTTGGAAAAATTAGAGCTACTAGGTGTCTCCTTTGAAATTGAGAGCAATTTAAAAAAAGTTTGGGCACTACATATGCTTTGGAGAGAGCTTACTTCAAAATAGCTACTTTTTGGGGACTTGTCCCAAAATTTTTACCCGAAAAGTCGAACTGAGCTTCTGATATAAATGTTTATGTCTCCTGGTGTCTTATTTTAGAATTAAGACTAATTTAGAACTCTTAAAAAGTTATTTTAAATCTATATAAATATTAGTCACTATAGGTGCTTTTTAAGATATTATCAAAATGATAATCACTCTACTCATATCTGTCAATAAAATATGTATAACTATTGACACCATGCACCCCACGCTTTTTTTAAAATAAAATAATTTTTTTTTATTCACACTATTATTAATTTATACTTATTGAAATTTTTAACACTATTCTTAATTTAAATTTATTTTCTATTTTTTAGTTTGGTTTTCTATAAAAAGCGTGTTTTTAGTTTTTTTAAACTATTATTATTAGTAAAAGCATTAAATAAATTTACCAAAAAAAAATATATATATATATATATTACAGGTTTGAAGTTTCTCAAGATTATTGAGACATAATGAGCTAGGGCATAAAAAGTACGAATTTTTTGATTAATCTCAAACTGAGTATTAAGTATATCCCGGTCAAGGAAATTGCTCGTTAGTAATTTAGTTAAATATAATAGTACGGCATAAAGTAATATCAAAATGATCGTTTGTCGTTAAGTAATGAGAATATCCGAGTATGATAACAACTATAAGTGATTATCCTTCATAATGATAATAATCATGTTATTTACGCGATAAGTGATTCACCATTCCCTTATAAATTTTATATTATATATTATCCATTACTTACTCTTACCTCTTACTCAACATTTATCAAAAAAATCTCCGTATGTAAATCATCGCCATTAAAGTGTAATTTTACCCGAGACCTTTCCAATTTATAGAGACTAGACGGGTTATTCTTATTTCAATTGAAGAAAGGGTTTATTTTAAACCAACAAAATAAAAAAAATGGTCACGGGTTATGGTCATCTTGTTAAAATGAAAATAAACACTTATTCAATCCTTTGTAAATTTTTTACAAGGTTCGGGGCGTAGTAGTATAGGCCGTCCCAGATTTTTAAGCTCACGACTGGTCAGCTGCCGGAGCAATTAGACATAAGAAAGTGGTACATATTGTTATTCTTATTAGTTATTGCTTATTATTCCTCATTTTTATCGTTAAAGAAAGAGGATGCTGTTTATTTTAATTTACAAAATTGTTTAATAAATCCGTTTATCAAAAAAGTGTGTATTGGGATAATTTTATCCCCGGTAATTTAACAGGTGTGTAATTTAATATTTCGATAAATATTTAAGTGAGCTTTGGGGAAACCGAGGAGCTTGTGATTGCCAACTCGGCTGAGAAAACAGCTAAGAAGTCTGTTATTATTTTTTTTTAATCGGCAAATTGTCGGGTTCCGCTTACACTCGGTGATTTAAGGTTAAAACTTGTTCAATACGTGCACATTGCCGGGTCGAAGGTTAATTCGGTGTCCTGGAATTTTTTGAATGAAAGTTACGAATGTATATCGATCTTTTTTGCTTAAATTATTTTATTTTTATTATTAAAGTTAAAAGAAATTTTTTTTAATGATTATATAATAATCTATATTATTAAGAGAATAAAAAAATTTAGCCAGTGTATTTATAGGATAAAATGACCTTGTATCTTGAGAACTATTGACATTTTTAAAGGTATAAGCTCGTCCTGATGTTACACTCATCAATACCTTTCATTTGAGTACCCACATCAATTTTTTATATATTTTATATATTTATATATATGTATATATGAAAAATATATCAAAATCCATGTGGGTACTCATATGAAAGCTCTTGATGAATGTAACGTCGGGATGAGCTTATATCTTTAAAAACGTCAATAGTTAAAAAAGTAGAGTGCAATTTATTTAACATTATTAAGAAATGACCCTGTATTTTGTGAACTATTGACATTTTTAAAGATATAAGCTCATCC